TTTTTTCCACCAACTTAAGACAGCAGCCAAGTATAACTACAAAATGATTGCTGTCCTCAGCCACTAAAAATCTGTGGAGTTTCTGGCTGGTTTAGCCATCAATCTCATTCAGCTGACTGATGGAGGATGCAGATGAAGGACAAGGAATCCAATTCAACAAAATCAGCTTTTTCTCTTGCAAAATTCCCCAGCTTTGGGAATAAGCTCAGCTAACAGCTCTCCTCAAGCTAATAATGTCAGATGGTTTGCCAAAGAGGTACAAAGAAATGAAGAGACACCCCTCTGCCTCCACCCTTCTGCCAATTTCGGCCAGAATCACTCAAAAACCATCCAATGCCTCGTGGTGCATTTTCAGATCGAGCTGTGCCTGTTTCCAGCTGCCCTGCACACCCAGTTTTCCAATTATTACAAATATTTGCATAGTTCTTACAATACATACCTGTGCCCCTGAAGTTGAAGTGCCAGAAAGGAAAATTATGCCAGTAATGAGGGATTTCTCATCTTCATTACTTCCCCTCCATCTTTCCAATTATGTCCAAGTAATAAAGATTGACTGCTGGCACTGGTGTGCCAGGCCAGCAGTACTCATTAGCACAGAGCTTCCCAAACTGTGGTACACAAACCATCAACAGCAGCAAAGCCAGAGCAAGAGACCCACAGCTGGTCCCTGGAATCAGATTAATTAGGCTCTTGTTTTTTTCCACACAGATCCCAGTGCATTCACTAATGCTACCTGCCACTCTGTGTTTCCATACATTTCAGATTTGTACTTGGTGTCTCAGAAGCCAAGACACATTATTCTCAGGGCTGTATCAGCTGGGAATTTTATATGGGCCAAAGGGCAGAATAAATCACAGTGCCTTGCCTCACCTCCTAAAGCAGGGAGGTGGAAAGCAGAGCTACAGCTGCTCATCCCAGATGGCAACTCCCAAGTTTTCAAGCTACAAGAGAATATTCCCCTGGGTCTTTGGGAGCCTACCCACTGGAATTAGAGTCTTCACATACCATTTTGAAGACTTTGACTTTTTAATAGTGCATACAACTTCAATATGTTTTAACAGTGGAAATGAGACCCATGCACAGAAATTATTAATGGCAAGTTTGATAAATAACAAACTTCTTTGTCACCTTTCTTTTTGTTGCTGTCTTTCTGTGCTTTACTGAATCTCTCTGTTGGTTAAAGCATTACCTGAAGAGTGAGATACAGGTATTCAGTTCTTTGATGGGCAACTTGCCACCAATCTAGCTAGTTTTCTCTAGCACGGGATGTCTTAAGAAAAATCAAGAACCACTGAAAACACAAGTACAGTTCTGTGCATTTCCTTTTTTTTGAGTCTTGGAGGTTTGGGAGTTAGAAGTCAAAGAAAGTAGGAATGCCGGCATAAGCCAAGGGGGATTAAGGAAATTACATTTTTCTTTCTATAGCACTCTCTCAACCCTCAGGATATATTCTACTTTTTTTTAACAAAAAAATAGAAAGCAAGCAGAGCCTTGGATTACAAGCACAGAAAGAAAATTTGTTTTACTTACTTTCATAAAGAAACTTTGGGTGTTTGGAGGACAGAATGTAGAAAACAAATGTTCTTTCCTGGATATTTCACAGTGAAATACAAATATTTCATTACAAAATAAAAATATTCTGCTTTGCAGAGGTGATCTTTATTCTCGAGGGTTCAGCAATTCAACAAAAGAAAATCGAAGTCCATAAAAATGAATGAAGTCAGGCAAGTATTATGTATCAGGTGACAAAAGTTATTTTGGGAGCTTACCAACCAGTGCAGTGATACAATGATGGCTCCTCTGCATCTGGCAATATTCCAGGAAATGGCCTCTAAAAGGCAATTCCCATTAGAGCAGCAGTGCTGCTGTCTAATAATGTTTTGCCCGTGTTTCAGTACCTTACTACCCCAGAGTAGCCACAAATGCACCAAGAGCAATTTGTACAGGACTCTTCACGGAGAAAAGAGCTATTCCAGGACTATCAGATTTTTTTCTCTACATTAATAGCTGCCTGGTCTGCTGTACCAGTGGACTGATTCAGTACTGACACTGACAAGGCACCTCAGAGTCTGACACTTGTGAAGGAGCTTTGTGTTCCCTTCAACTGTCATAAAGGGGAGGAGAAATTTGCTCTGTTTTCACAGTTATATGACAGCTTTTAAAAATTTTACAGCGTGAGTGCAGCACCTAATCCAATAAAGCTTGCCAGAAACATTTAAAATCAAGGTCTCTCAGATTTTGTTTCCTACAAATTCACCAGATTTTTAAGAAAACGGTCTTTTCCTCAGAAAAACAGCGCCAATCTCACCAGTTGCACAGAGCTGAGGACTGTGTTTCTGCCATGCTGTGGGAAAAATAACTGAAAGTACTGGGAAATAGGCTGTAGGGCTGCACAAAATGGACTGGAGTTAATGAATAGGAACAGGAAGAAGAAAATGAAAATATGATTTATGAAAGAAATCAAAGCTTTTACTCAAAACAGAATAAAAAGCAGGAACAACCTATAATAGGCATCTAATTCACTTAATACAAAGACTGCTCTCTATACATGGAAATAACTTCAGTTTTATTTGGAGGTCAAAGCGTGAAAAAAACAATTCCTCTTCCTACCACTATTGTCTGTCACTAACCAACCACCTAGGGAAAGGTGGAGGGGAAAGGTGGAGACAGCAAAAGTTCAATGAGAACATATGCAAAGAGAAATCCTGTCTTCTGGTAGAGATGTTTCTCCTTCAATTTCAGAAAGTAAAACATGACCAATAACTGACAACAACTTGAAAAACAAAACAGCATCATCATTAACCTGATCACCAGAAATGGAATTTTTTTCCTGCTTTTACCGAAGACAAGCCAGCTTAAGCCAGTACTTTCTAAAATAATCCCTTTTTAGTTACTTTCTTCACTGTGAGAAGGTGAAGAGCTGCATCTATTATAACTACATGCTGTGCAAACCTCATTTGGACATGATCATCATCAATCACTCCTGCTGTGCAGGTAGCATGTGAAAGGGAAACAAAACAGAAATCCTGCTGCAGTATTTGACACCACCCACTCCCCTGCTCGCACGCTTTAGTTCACGATGAGCCCAGCTGGCATATAGTTATTCTCTCTTTTTGGGACCCCTCTCTTTTCTCTCCCTCCAAGCATTTGAGAACAGCTTTGATGGTTTCTGGGGAAAGACAAAAACCTTTCCTTCTCTCTCAATGGATTAATGCTTTCCTACTGTAAAGCAAGCCAAAGATATATTATTATGTACCATCTTGCCTTCGTAAATACACACACATTACTTGCAGCAGTACCTCTTCTTATCATATGCATACGCTTCAGTAGAAGATGAATATTGTAAAAGGAATCAGAATGCAGTGAGTATCCTTTGTGGCAGTGTCATACATAGTCCTGAAAGGAGCTATTAGTGTCAGCATCCTATTGCATTTCTCTAGCACACACTTCAACTAGCTGTCAGTGCTATAATCTCAACCAGGGATAGTCAGTAGAGGCACAAGGCTTAGAAGAGCAAGAAAGATAGTGTCTGTCTTTTTCAGACAGGTCTGGAGGAAGCTGCAATATGGATCAGACAATATTTAGGAATGCAGAAGCAACCAGGGTCAGAGTTGAAAGACAGATTACAGTCTTACCAACACTCTTTCTACCAGCTCATCTAGGGTGTAAGGAGAGCACCCTCCTTGTGTTTCACAGCTCTGCTCAGCACCATGCCAATTCAGTGGACTTGCACCAGTTTATCACATCCTGATCCTTGGTATGACTCAGGTCAGCAGAAGTTGCCTGCACTTTGTGTTTTCTGATGCACCAGTACTGCAGCATGCCTGGTTTTAAACAGCTGTACAGCAGCGCACACTAGAGAACAGCTCTTCCATCTCACAGCCCTCTGTGTACCTCTGACAGCTCATGAGAGCACAGACAATCAGCAATACAGACACGGTAACATCCAACTGCAAGCACACACCCCCTCCTTAAGCGCCAGGACAGAAGTGATGTCACTTCACAATACCCCTTATTTCCCTCAGCAAGTTAATAAACCACTCTGGAACAACGAGACATTTAAAGGCACCTCCTGAGGACCTCGCAACAAATTCTCCCATGTAGGAATCTGGATGGGAGACTTTGAACTAGAAATCACTTCCTCCCTTCCCCTAGCGATCACTCTACTCCCTTTTTTACAGGACAAACAGAATTTGTAACCTGACCCCCCCACTGAGCTTCTTTAGCCTTGTCTAAGCCTTTGCTCCATTTCTTGGCAGTGAAATGCCGAGCCACCCTGCTGTTGGCAGCCACCTCATTTATTAAAAAGACAATGCGGAGATGCATGCCCGTATGTCCCATCAGGGTGTCCAGCTGGCACACACATTCCTCACAGTGGTTTGATAAGCTCTTGACACAGAGTAGCAGCCCCAGAAGTGAGGAGGGCTCTGGTGTCCCTCCACCCTTCAGAGCCACGTCTTCGGGACGGAATGGCAAGGCTAGGACCCGTCACTGACTGGGACGGAGAATGATCACCTGGAGATTCCTGATACAGGCTTTCATGTTGTGATGTGCCAAGCGTGCCATCCTCGACACAGCAATGGATGTGAGCATGTGCTCAACTTTAAAATCATGAATGCCTCAGTGATTTCTCTAAGACTATGCATGACTTTTGAGGCAAGCACACACAAGAATGAAAAGATCAGGGTGACAAAAGGAGTGTATGGCTCTCACAGGAACACAGTGATGAAGGCATTCATGCAACTGGCCTCTATAAACACACTCTTTCCCTTGAGGCATGGTTTTGAAACACAGCTGAAGGCCAGGAAATAAGAGGGTGAAGGAAAGCCTCAGTAGGTTGTCCACGCAAATTACTGAGGCCACAGAAAGGGTAGCCTAGATACCCCTTTGTTCAGCTTCCAAGTTTAAACTTCTAAATTTAAGAGCAGCAACAAGTTCACCTTCCGTCTTAGTAAGCAGACACAAATGCAACCGTCTTGCAGTTTCAAACATGTACTCACCCAGAAGAGAAGGTTGAAGACAAACATTAGGTACTTGATACACTGCAGGCAGTTGTGAGCCATGCTGCACCTCTTCAGTTCTAGGAGAAAAATAAATGAGAGATCCAGGTAAAAGACAACGTACTTGTTTCCCTTGGGGGACGTGTACTTAGCCTTGGTGGCCTTAGGGCCTGGATTGGTGTGGAATCCAAAAAAAGAGTTACTGGCAGCCCCAAACTGGCCACCATACATGCTGCTGTAGCGACGGAAGGCGCCATTTGGGAAACTGTAATCCTTGCTGTCCAGGGAAGGGCTCCTGTGATAGGTCGACTCATCGGTGCTAGACCTGCGCATGGTGGCTTCAGCTCGTCCCGTCGCAACTGCTGCTCTGACAGTCGTCGGGTGAAAGGTTTGTGATTTTCCTTCCTCCTCCTTGCTATGAATCCCCTATTGCTTTGCACCAGCTGTTCTTTTGTCTGCCATCCTGTCAAGGAGTTACACGTGCTGTACGGCTGCAAAGTTGGTGAACTGGAGTCTGCTACGCCAGGAGTTAGGGAGCAGCGTGCTTCCACATGAGAAAGACTTCTGCACAAGTAAACATTCCCTCCGGTGTCACAATCGTCCCTCCCGGCCCCCCCCGCTACCAGAGGAGAGAAAAAGAGAGAGAAATACTGTACCAAAGCAACGAATTTTAAAAAAAGGAAGCGTGACCTCGCTCCGATGACAAACGCCACACCGGAGCCCGGCTCCACATGCCGCGCACGGGCGGGAGGGTGCCGCCGCCCCGGGCTGGCGGGCAGGGGCAGGGCTTATCCCCGGGG